CTCCCCCTGTCTCTCCCTCTCTCCCTCTCTCTCCCTGTCTCTCCCTCTCTCTCCCTGTCTCTCCCTCTCTCTCCCTGTCTCTCCATCTCTCTCCCCCTCTCCCTCTCTCTCCCTCTCCCTCCCTCCCCCCTCTCACCTCCTTCCTTTCTTTTCCCTTGCCTTTCCTCCTGCCCTCCCTTCCTCCCTTTCTTTTCTTTCTTTCTGCCTTCTGCCTTCCTTAAGTCCCATTCATGCTCACCTTTGTTTTTTTGGAGACAGAATCTCCCTCTGTTGCCTTGTAGCTCTCAATAACCTCAAACTCTTGGGCTTGAGCAATCCTCTTGTCTCAGCTTCCCTAGTAGCTGAGACTACAGGTGCTCACCACAACACCCGGCTAGTTCATGCTCACTTTTACTCAGTATGCTACAGGGATTTTTAAGGTACCCACCAGTGAGACAAGGTCCTCAGCTAAGGGCACAAATAGGGTGAAGGGAAAGGTGTTTACCACCACAAATTACTGCACTCAGTTCTTCCGAGTCCTTCTGGCAAATAACGGGTAAATACTCACCTCCAAATCGTTCCCTGCTGGTTCACAGAAAGCGGCTCTGTACTGTGTAAACCTGGGGAGTCTTTCTGGCTCTGTGTTTGTGTTACTGTCATCATTATCATCTCCAGATGAAAGGGAACAGCCCAGAAATGACCAGAACTGCCCTCAGTGATTCCAATAAAAGGGAAGCAGCAGCATAGATTTTCACTGGCTCTACAATTTTATATTGTTGTTAAATGAAGTTTCCGAAAACTCCATGTTAGATGAAGTATAATTGCAGATTTCCTTAAGAACCATTGACAGATACTTATCCCAACTTACAAGCAGCTCACACTGGGAAATGTGTGCAAACATTCTAAGTTTCCTTTCAGAAGAATATACTTCAATAAAACCAAATATTCACCCATCTTTTTCAATAACAGAGCCATTAAAACTGGAAATAGAAGTTAGGGAATTTTCTTTTTTGTTACTTGATTTTTTTTTTTAAGAGATGAATGTTGCCAGAACTTCCGTTGTTTTTCAGGGAAACAAGTCTTTGATAAGTATCATCTCTGAGACCCTTTCACTAAGGGAACTACATTTTGAATGAGATAGCAAACTAGATAGTAAATTATGGTGCATTTAGGTATTGGCATTATATGATGGAGAGGGGAGTTTGATTTTTTTTTTTAATTGTTAGGTGGTCTATTTAGCACAGCTGTGTTTATGTTTCCTACGTGGTAACCGCCTGAACATGGTGACAAGTCCCTACAAATTAGAATAGGAATTCTTAAAAAATCCTCTTGCCAGTGTGCTTTAATTTCAGGGGTTGTATTTATTAAGTAGCAATGGCAAAGATAATTCCAGGCACAATCATTCAGTACAGTTGGTCCGCTACAGAAGACATTTTGACAACCTTATAAAAAGAGTAATTGATACTTTAAATGCCGCATTTCACAGTAGAATAAACTTGGAAATGGTAGAATGTTTTTAGAATAGTCATAGTTCTTTAACCATTGTTTTGGCTGATTTAACTTCATTGTTATTAATAATGTGCACTTATATCATCAATGTTGATCAGTCCTGTAGCAAATTAACAGTTCATATTTTTGCAGTCTTTCTCTTAAAAAAATAAATGACAACAAGGTCATGGCTACAACAAAGAGATAGTTGCCTGTGACAAAAGAAAAAATATATATATAGTAAGTAAATAATAGTATGAATTGGCAATTTCAGAACTTCATACACCGTATGAAATGCTGAGGTACAAAGGCCTAACGTCTGGTTTGGGAGGCATATTTCTTTGGTGTTACATCTCTCATAACTCAAATTAATGTTTATTACTATTCTTTCATATTGCCAAAATATTTTCATGAATTTGGATTAGAAGCAGCTTGTTCTGGCTTGTTTTTGCAACTTTGTTTCAAGAAACAGTGATATTTAGAAGATTTTTGTATGTCATAGAAGCTTTAATTATCTTATGTTGAAGGAGGAAATAAGATTAAGTTCTGTTTCATAATTATATAGGACAACAAGAATTGATACTATGCTAATTTTATATTGCCACATAATTAATGTCTTTCAAGAAATTTGAATCAGTGATTTGAAATTTGAACAATGTTAGCTGTTCAATCAGTAACCATCTAAAATCTGCTTTAAATTGAAGAGGACACTACTGGGTCCAGACCATAAGCCTTTATTTCTGGATTGTCCGGTGTCTGCCCTCATCTCTCCTTTTTTCCCCTCCTTCTCTCCACAGATTGGTGAAAGACAACAAGTGTTAGTCACGGAAGAATCTTTTGATTCCAAGTTTTATGTTGCGCACAATCGATTCTATGAGCAGGTAAGAGGTACTTCAGTATTCTGGAGTCTTCTCCAAAATAAGAGACTTCTGAAAGTTTAAGCAAAGAGGATTTAAAAGGGGAAAGGGTTGAATCTTGTCACAGCTGGGCTGTTCTGTAGCATGAAGCCAGCCAGGCTTTCATCAGGGTTTATCTGAGTGACTTACTTTGCAGTTCATTCTCTACAAAGGAGGAAGTGTATTTGGTGTGTTTGAGTCCGCAATAACCTTTGACAGGCATGGCCTGAAGCTTCTGGGAGTTTGGAACCAGGCCGTTAGCACTGCCAAAGTTCCCACAGCCTGGCAAAGTAGGAGGAAAGTGCTGCTCAGACTACAGGAAGGGTGTCTGCACGGGCGACATCAGCCTGAAAGGGCAGGGATTTCCTCTCACCAGCACATCACCCGTATGGGTTTTTTTTTTTTCCCAGATAGTTGGTTGATTATTTGGTATTTCATTTTTCTTTAGTTTTAGTATTTGTTTTTTTTAACTTTTACCTTGATAAAAACAGTGGAGTCTATTCCTTTGACTCAACTCAAGTGGTGTGAACAGCTGTGCAGACCAGCATGAGGACTGAAGCCTCTGCACTTAGAGTGGGGGAGGCCATCTCTGGGGACTGCCACTAACTCGCCTTCCTCCCCTCCCCACCTACTTGGCCTGCCTTCTGTTTCAGCATGTGGGATTGCACTCCCGCAGGTGGGAAGGCAATTCAAAAGTGGCTAAAGAAAACATGCCCCGTCCAGATGCATGGATCCTGGCAAGGGCCAAGGAGGAGATGGGTACACTCTCTAGGGTGGGAGACTCTCGTGGGGATGTAGGGATTTCCTGGCTCATTCTCTACTGTGTTAAATTTTGTTAAAATTAGATGAGCTTTCCTATCTTTTTGTTCCTTTCTTATCAGATAGGAAATTAAAAATTTTTTTTTCTGTGGGTCATGGCTAGAATTAGAGCTTGGGGAGACTGTTAAGGCCAGGGAGGGGAAATCAGATATGGGCTGGGCAAGGGCACAGGCCACCGGCACTAGAATGTAGGAAATGGGAGCTGAGGTGGACTCCAGCATTGACTTTCAACATGAAATGATCTCAGGCTACCCTGTGGGTCCTCAGGAAGCATGGAGGAGCTTTTCAAGGGCCACAGTCAACATGCGTGTTCAGCACCCAGATGAGGAAGATCCCAACACTCCCTGTCTGGGCTGACTGTCTCCCCATGTCCCATCTCACTGACATTCTCCAAAGAGCCCTTCTCCTGTCCAGGCAACCTCCTGCTCAGCCCTGAGAGGGCTCGGCTGTGTTTGAGTTGCCTCTTCCCTCTCCTTTCTCTTGCCATCTGGGTTTCTGCCGCAGCGGGGAACTTTTTTCTCTTCATTTTAAAAGCAGTGGCATGCCTCATTAGCTGTTTCCTCCAATTTAAAGCAGTCGGGCTTTTTCCAATTATTAAAACTGGAGGAGGAAAAAAACACTGAGCCCTTCATTCAGATCAAGGCAGCAGATCAAGGAGGGTTATTTTCCCCCAGAATCATACCAAATCTCCCAGGGATAGTTTGCTCTAGAGATTTTCTTATTTTATAAAAACTGATTTAAAAGGGCTTTCATATCCCAATGCTAAAGCTTTTTAGTTCGTTTGCTTGCCGTGAGTAATTCACCACCCAGGTGACCTTTTTCCTATACTTTGATGAAGCAGTGTACTCAGTGGTCATAAAAATCAAACTCAGAGAGACCAAGATCCAATTTTGCCTCTCAGAGAAATTGGCTGTGGAACTTCTGGCTCTCATCTGACTTTTCTGTCTTTATAACTAAGCATATCAAAGATTTCATGGGAATTATCTTTCTAAATAAGATGAGTTCCAGAGATGAAGATTGTATCTAGATGTCAAAGTATTACTGGGTTAGAATTGGTCTATTTATTTTGGATCCTGACTTTAAAAGATTGGCAAGTAGCGACAGCACTACAGCAGGAGCGGAGGGGAGACACAATGCCTGCAAACTGCCTGTTAGTCTCAAAGGAGAGGAAACGTTTGCTGGAGGTAAACAAGTGTTTTTATCAGTCATCTCTACTGGAAAGAGACCATCTGACAGTTTCCTATGAACTGACCTTCAGAGTACTTGGTTCCATGTGGAGTAGGCTCCTCAGACTAACACGTACTTTTTTTATTGGTGCACAAATAAGTAAACAAATAAATAAATGGCAACCATTCGTTAGGCTTCCATTTAGGTTCATTTAGCATCATTTAGCTCCTGGGTTACTGACAAGCTTACTTTTAAATGTTCCTCCTCCTCCCCTGAAGGACACACACACGCACATGTGTGCAGGCCTTTATTTGAAGTGCCTACTCAAATCATTACCCCAACAGCTAACTTGGAAAGTATTAAAAGTATAAGGCTTTCATCAGGATTGCCTCAGTTTTCTTCAGTGCACGGGACAGCCAGGAGCAGAGTATCAAAGGCCCACCCCAGAGTAGCTGGCTGATGGCTGGGGGGTTCAGGTCTGCTTTCCATGTGTCCCGGGACAGCAGGCGCCCTGCACTGAGGAGCACCGTGTGCTACCCGGGAGCTGCTCCCAGAAACACCCTCCCTTCCTGCAGGGTCCCCAGATGCTTGAGCATCTGCAAGATAGAGCCCATTGGGATGGAATCCCAGAATAGAAAAGTGACACCAAGGGGCAGTTAAGGAAATCTGAATAAAGTATACACATTCCTTGATGATAACATATCAATTTGGGTTCATTAATTGTGACAGATGTATCATACTAATGTAAGACGTTAAGAATAGGGGAAACTGGGCGTGGGGGACACAAGAACTCTCCATGTTATCTTTGCAGTAGTTCTATAAAATTAAAATTATTCTTTAAAAATGTTTGTTTTTAAAAATTAAGCCTTCTGGAAATTTTTCTTTCAAGGTTTTAATACCAAAGAACTCCTCATTTATGGGGAAAATGGTTGAAGTGGACATCTACGAAGCAGGCAAACATTTCATGAAAGGGCAGCCAGTATCAGCAGCCAGAGTGTACACGCCATCCATCAGCAAACCCTTAGCCAAGGGAGAAGTCTCGGGTTTAACAAAGGTAAGGAAAAGATGCTCTCCTCTCTACCCTGCTAGGAAAACAGCAGCTGTGGAAGCACAGTGATTCCAGACCATGTTTCTGTTATCATTTATAGTTTTCTTTTTATGTATGCATGAGGCTTTAATCCCTTCTGACAGATTGAAATCTGAATTAGAAAGATGTGTTTTTGCTGATGCCTATAGCTCTGCTTCTCTGCCTGTAAAGGGAATAAGCTATTTCTTCTTCCAGGCTGGAAGCAGAGGGTAAAAGCCATTATTTGCAGGTGAAAGATTTAACATCCAAGATGATCTGATCCAGTATGTTTCTGTGTCGGTAGATCCTGAGTGGAAAGGGATGAGGAAAGGAACGTTTTCTTGCCTTACAAAGCTGTTTATAATATAGTAAAAACCTCCAGTTGAATGGGCACTAAACCATGCCGTATCTGCGGTTACTGGGCCTTTTTGTGTGGGGTTAGCTGGATATCTACTCTAGTCATGTGGCGTGAAAATTAAACATTTTTTTTCCTTTCTATAAAAAAGTAACCTGACCCCTGTTTTATACCTTGGTAAATATGGCTGTTTGCCAGGCTCTCTCTTACATTTCCTTGAGCTACAGTTGTAAAAGCTGATGGAGTGTGAAATGAAAATGTGTATCACATTTCTAAGCATCATTTGATGTCCTTTCCCCAACACAGTTGTTAAGTGCTCCAAAAAGTATATAGCAATGACTTAACATATGGAAGAAAGATAACTGATACTCATCTGAGTATGTAATTCCAAACTTGTTTTAATTTATGTTATCTCTTCCCTCCAATTGAATTGCAAAGGCATACTCATTAAAGTAAAGGAAGTAAAAAATGACTTTGGGAATAGCAGCAGAGAGGGTGCTCTTATCTACATTTTCTCACTGATTGCGGTGCTGGACTCTCCTATCCAGTAGAAGTGACACCTTGTGTGCTTGACAAGTACCATGTGAAGGATCTATGTGAATAGCCACCTGACCCAAGCAGAGTGGCACAGACTAGCTTTCGTCAAAACCCTGCAGCCTGCACAGCCAAGAGAGAACTCTAAAACTTGATAAGCATAACTATTAATTTTTGTTATTATTATTATTATTTGTTGTTGTTGTTAAATCATACTTAGGGGTTGCTATGGTGTGCCAAGAAGAAAGAGTATAATATAGTGTTCAAGTTATATGACTACAGGTTGGGCTCGGTGGTCCACACCTATAATCACAACCCTTCAAGAAGCCACAGCAGGAGTTCAAGACCTGCCAGGGCAACATCATGAGACCCCATCTGTACAAAAACCTTTAAAAAGTATCCAGGTGTGTTTGCACACATCTGTAGCGCCATCTACTCAGGAGAGAGCATTAGGAGTTTGAGGTAACAGTGAGCTATAATTGCACCACTGCACACTGGCCTGCGTGACAGAGCCAGACTCTGTCTCTTTAAACAAACAAACAAATAAATAAATTGCTAGAGATTTGGTTTTTGAAGTGTTAGCTAGTACTTCAGAAATTTTCTAAAGTTGGCTTTTTTAATTATTTGATTTTCCACACAGTATATTTCACAAGGTTGATTTTCGATTGCCACGGGGAAAAGGTTTTCTCAGTAAGTGACAGTAGTGGGCAAATTATTATTTCAAAGACCCTGCCTATTTTAATTCCTTTATGGGTACCTATTAGAAAGGGTAGTATTCTGAAACATTGTCATTAATAATACATAAATTAGGAAAGGCAGTGTTCCTTTAGAAAGTGTCGCCCCATTTAAATTCTGTAGAAGAGCCTTTTCTCCTCCCTCCCTTCTGTGAGCTCAGAAAACGGAGTCCTCAGTTCCGCCACCAGCCTGTCTCGGAGCCAGCATGGCCCAGAAGTCCTGTGGAAGGTGAGGGCAAAGGTCAGTTGGCTGCTGGCCCACTGGGCCTCTAGAAATAGTCGTATAGCGTGTGTGAGGCCACGGGTTAGGAATATTGATTTGGGGATTTGCATTAAGAGAAGCAGGGAAGGCTTTTATCACCATGTGTGACGTCCTATAAATTAAGGAACGTGCTTTTGGTCTTCATTATTATTTGCTATTTTTTAAAGTTATGCCCGTCTTGTGGAGGTCAAAAGGTCTTGTTTCGTGAATTTATCCTGATATTATAAGTTCTGACAATAACGTTTGTGAAGCCATCCTAGAAAAGTGCCACCTGCCTCACTGCTGAATCTCACCGTGATGACCTTTGAGGTGGTCCCCTTCAGAAGCTGGGCACCAGCGCAGCACCCAGTCCGCTCTTCAGAGCCGTTCTGGAACTCTTGTCTGGAATGACCATCAGAGCTCTGGTCACACAGCAGCTGACGACTAAGTTCACGAGCTTGTCACCATGCACTTACGTTGATGACACTGTACAAACAACTCAGCTAGGTTTGGTGACTGTGGTCTACCCGTGTCTCCCAGCCGTGTTTGTGTCACCGTGTGGTGGTTTCTGGCTGAGCCGCATCATTCTTGTTGTTCCGTGTTTCTGTGTGCTGCACAACAGCAGCTCTGATGGCCATTCCAAAAAGAGTTCCCAAATGGCTTTGAAGGGGAGACGAGGCACTGGCGTCTGCACCCGGCTTCCCGGGGGAGCACAGGACGGTGACTGCGGTGATGTTCAGCAATGCGGAATGTAGCACTTTTTCTACAATGAGTTTATAAACTTAATTGTCAGACCTCGTATTTTTGCTGACCACATGAACTAAGACAATCAAGCATGAGAAGAACAATTTTCTTTTTTGTAGGATTTAAAAGTGGATGGCAGGACAGGTGCAGTGGCTCACACCTGTAAGCCTAGCACTGTGGGAGGCCGAGGCAGGTGGATTACTTGAGCTCATGGGTTTGAGACCAGCCTGAGCAAAAAGTGAGACCCCTTCTCTACTAAAAATAGAAAAACCGAAGCAAGAGGATTGCTTGAGCCTAAGTTGGAGGTAGCAGTGAGGTGTGATGCCACAGCACTCTACCCAGGGCAACAGGGTATAGACTCTGGCTCTGTCTCAAAAAATAAAAAAAAAATAAGAAATAAAAGTGGATGGTAGGGGTTGTATCATGTTTCAGGCATTTTGAGCTTTTTGATGGCTAATCAGGTGGTGAACCTCTTGATTGGAAAAATCAGATTAACTTGGTGTGTACACATGCCCTGGGGGCTTACGGACCTGGATTTGCATCTGGATTTACCAGTTTACCCTGGGCATGTTATTCCTCAACACTTCAGTCTGTTAAACGAGGACAGTAATATCCATCTCATAGTGTGATGAAAGGGATAACTGCCTAATAGTGTTCCTGGCACAAAGTAACTAGGTACTAAGTAGTTATTTTCCTCTCTCCCGAAACTAACTGCATCCAAAAAGAACAAACTCTGAAGACCACCTGGGTGGTAACAATATTCCTTTCTTGGTCGTTATTTGAACAATGACTGTATAGCACATGTTTTGTTGATATTTGGTGAGGGAGGGGTGTTTCTCCATTAGGTAATATATTTAGTGCCAGAGAACCAATTCCATCAGAATTTCTTTGTCTGGGTCTTGCAGGCTTTTCTTGAGTTTTTCTAGAATGATAGCCCAAAACACACACACTTTGTAAAGAAACCTGGGATGCCCAAAACATCTAAAGCAAAATACTGTGTTAAAAAATTCTCTGCTACAATGAAAAAAAATGAAAAGACAAAAAAAAAAAAAAAACCCCACAATTCTCTGCTATAGTAAGTGCCTTTCCTTAATTATTTTATGATTATTCTTTAAATATTTATCCCTATAGATATTTTTTTTTGGTCTTATTTTTCCTCACTTTAAGACCTCTTTTGATGAAATTGACCTCTTTTGATGAGATTGGTGAGTACAACAGACTAGGGAAGAAGCACAGGTTGGGAGTCAGGAGATCCAGATTACAAATTCTAGAATAGCAGACTTGTTGACCTTTTGTGAACCTCAGTTGTCTGACATGTAAGATGTTAGTGAATAGTGATCATTAAGTAAGCTTCTGGCTCTAACATTCTCTGATTGGCAGGTTTCACTTAACAAAAATAGATAGAATGCTTTGAATTATAGAAAATACTAGTAGGTAAATGCCCATAACATGATGGAAAAGAAAAAGTATGATAAAGTGAAAAGGTTACTGTCCTCTAAGAAATCATATACTAATGGAAAAGGCAAATAATAACATCTTTTTATAATTATTTTCCTCTTTTCAGTTTGATGGGAGAGAAGAGATGAAAGTGAAAATAAGAGCGACAGATAAAATTAGTCTGATTATGGCTTGGCACCTATACTTTAGTGGTTAGGGCACTAGCCACATACCCCGGGGCTTGCAATTTCAAACCTAGCCCAGGTCTGCCAAACATCAATGACAACTATAACAACAACAACAACCAAAAAAAAAACAAACAAAAAAAAATAACTGGGCCTTGTGGCAGGCACCTGTAGTCCCAGCTACTTGGGAGGCTGAAGCAAGAGAATCGCTTAAGCCCAAGAGTTTGAGGTTGCTGTGAACTGTGATGCCACAGCACTCTACTGAGGGTGACATAGTG